AATGTACCACGCGCGCACAAACGGGTGTAAACGTTTTATACAAACTCGACAAAAAACGTTAAATTTAAATAAAAATATTTAAAAAAGTACGTACCCGTTAAATTTTATTTCAAGTTTTGACTTTTTACTAGTTTTCAAAACCATATTCGAATTTTCCGTTATAAATGTAACCTAGAGCAACCTGTCGACGAAAAATGTAAACATTAGAAAAACAATAAAAAATTATCGATAAGAAATCGATTAATCGAACGATAAAAATATCGAAATGTTTAAAACCTCTATTTTTTTTTTTTAATTGAATTATATAATGGATACTCATATCAGAGTTTTAAAGGGATGTTTTAGCTTATCGGTTTTTATTATATTTTCGAAATTAAAAAAAAGTATTAGGTGTTAAATTTTACAATATAAATTTAAGTAAATAAGAAAAAGAAAACTTACAAGTTAAAAAAAAAAATAGTTTGTTATATTTGATTTGAATAGTACACGCACGCAAAAAGATGTTTTCCAGTAAATTATCTTTATTATACTAATGATCATTTATGTGAATATGCCGAACAACAAAAAAATAACGAATTTCGAAATGTTGTTTGTTTGTTTGCAATACAAAAAAAAAAGGGGGCAAAAAAAAAGTTTTTTTGTTTTATGATTGCTGCGATCATTTTTGGCGGCAATCATTTAAATCGGGATTAATTTTCCAAGAAAAAAAATCTTAGGATTAATTTATAAAAGAAAAATAATCATTTAATAAGATAAACATGTAAAAAAAAAATTATCCTTTTTCAATATCGGCTTCCGTTATAATTTCTTATGGTATAATTTTTTTGGTATCGGTTAAGATTTTTTTTTTTTTTTCTATGTTTAAGGAGGAGGGAGAGTTAATATGTCAGTTAACGTGTCACATAAAATAAAACAAAAAAAAAAAAAAGGAATCGAGATTTCTTAAAATAAGAAAAAATAAATAAATAAATAAATAAAAGGGAAAAAAATATTTATTATGTATGACAATAAAAGAAGTGATAATAATTGTATGACGTCAGACAGTAAAAAAATTTTTACTTACAGTAAATTATGTGAATTTTTTTTTTTTTTTTTTTGGGGAGAACCTTTTTTTTTTTAACTAAATATTATGAAAGAAAAGGAAAAGGTTTATATAACAAGGGAAAATAAAATTATTTACTGTAAATTTTTTTTTTTTTTTGTAATGTTAATCACAACTTGGATCTATGGAAAACTTATTATTAAAAACAAAAAACAAAAACTTTTTAACGTTTTGATTTGTTTTTTTTTATAAAAAAAAATTAATATAATTCTATGATATTAATTAATTTAATAGAAAATAGTCGTTTTTTTGAATTTACATACAAATTGTGTATCGTAAATTATTGTTTTTTTTTTAACGTCACAAAAATCTTATTCAAAATTTTATTTGGGATCCGCCATTTTTATTTAGTCAAACGTCACGTAATCATAGTTTTAGTTATTCATAAATAAATCTCTAAAAATTTTTTTTTTTTAAATTTGTAATTAAATATTTTCACGATAGTTTTAATAGTAAATAATTATTTATTATGTTTCGTTTAATAAAAATTAAATTTTTGCCCTTTTTTTTGCCCAAAAAAAAATTTCACCTTATAACGGTTTTTCATAATCTTTTTATTAATGTTTACATTTAAGATAAAATTAAAAATTTTAAAAGTTATGGTTCTAAATTATTTTCGTTTATAAATCGAATAAACGGTAAATGTAATGAAATGATTAAAAAATTAATATAAATATATATATATATATTAATTATAATAATTAATTTTAAATAAAATTTAGAGTGAAAATTTTCCCTAATAATGATAATGGATGGATTTAACGTTTTTATTCATAACATTAATAAACGCATCAAAATTTTTTTTTTTGTGGCAAAGGTTTTTAAATTTTAAAGTTTAATATTATTATTTATAAAACATTTAAATTTTTATTGATTTTTTTTTTTTCTGTTTTTAATCAAAGAAAATATTTTTATTATAAAAAAAATTGCATTCAATGAATAAATTTTAATAAACTCCATTGTTTTCTTTTTTTTTTTTTTTTTTATTTTAAATTTCGAATCAAAGGTAAAAAATTATTACAGGATATATTTTTTTTATACAGTTTTAATGCTGGTCGCGATAATAATAATGATGATGATGATGATGATGATAATAATAGAAACTAAAAAAAAAAAAATAAAAAATAAAAATGACAGCAACAATTAAACGAATGAATTTTTTCTTGCGACGAAGGAGCTCATTTTTTTTTTTTATTTGAAATTTTAAAAAGGTGGTGCAGTGCATAAGCAATGCGTTGAGGTAACACGTCAACGTATTTTAAAAATTTCTTGTAAAAAAAAAAACAAAAGATGGTGGAGAGCAGTAAAAAAAAAATTTTTTTTTTTGTTAATGTTTTACTGTATTTATAAGTTATTATTATTATTTTTTTTTACTTTCAGATGTTTTTTTTTTTTTTTTAAAAGATGTCGTAATAGCTTACTTATTATTATTATTTTTTCCAAAAAAAAAACCCTATGATAAATAAATAAACAAATAAATTCATGTCCAGATAGAAAACTATATAATGGTTTCAGTAATTTTTAACAATCAATTTGTAAAAAAAAAAAAAAAAAATACTGATTTTATTCTGTAATAAATTTTATTATGGCTAATGGTTAACTTTTTTATCCAGTCTTTAAAAAAAAAAAGAAAAGAAAAGAAAAACAGAGCCATGTTTTTTATTTCCCCCCCCCTAATAATTTATGATAGTTTTTTTTTTTTGTAAATTTTCTAACAATACCCCCCCTTTTTTTTTCTCATAAATAGTTTTAATTAGAAAAATGATTTTTATTTCAATGATTTATTTATAAGGATTTTATTAATTATAAATTAGGATAAAGTATAACTCTTTATTAATATTTTTTTTATTTATTTATTAAAAAAATAATCCATCTAATTTTTTTTTATAACTAAATTTTTTGATCTGCAAGTATGTTGTTAATATTGATCAATATTGATTGATTAAATAATTTTGTGAATTATTTCATAGAATTTGAAAATTAATAAATATACTTTAATAAATTATTATTTTTTACATAAATAAAAATAAATTGAATGGATAGAAAAAAAATTTTTATTTAATTTGTTTAAAAGAAAAAATTTACGGTTATGTACGGTGTAAATTGTACGTTAGTCGTAATATCAAAAAAAAAACTTTATTATTAAAAAATATTTTAAAAAAATGGAAAAAAAATAATTTCTAGTGTTTAATAAATTTTTATGTATTTAATTACGTTTATTTATTTAAATTTTAACTTTTAAAAAATTATTTCTGAAAAATAAAATACGCTTATTTGGTTTTTGATTTGACTCGAGTAGTATAGAAGTTTTTCAACGTTTTCTTTAAAATTTTTTTCTTTATTCAAATATTTGATTTTTATCATTTCAAATTAAAGGTATAATTTTTTAAATTTAATTTAAAAGTGTTTGGAAAACTAAGTTAAAAAGTAATAATTAATAGAAATTAATAAAATTATTAAATTTTTTAAATATTATTTGTTTTATTAGAAGTTTAATAGTGCAAGTGAAAATGAGTGTTACTTGAATTCGTTTGCTAAAGTATTTACGGGTGTGATTTCATCAAAAAATTATTATTTATGTGTTTTATTTAAAATTTTAGTTTTAATTGTGAAATTATAAAGGATAATCTGGAGCAAATTTTCAGGTAAGAAAAAAAAAATTTTTAATTTTTTTGACAGGAAGCGTATGAAAATATAGTATTTTAGGGAAGGTAATAATTAATATGTAAAAGGCTTAATTGCAATACTTAAATTTTATTTATTATTATTTTTAAATTAGATTTTATTTAAAAAATTTATAACTTTAAAAATTCACAAACATTTTTCTTAACCTATAGTATTTATTAGCTAAAAGTCAAACTTTTCGTTTCATGTTTTTAACTTTTTCATGTGTACTGTGAAAAAATGTTAAAAAGAAGTATTTATAACATGGTTTAATTTAATTACAAAAACGATTTAGATTTAGTATCTTGTATTATAACATATATATTAGTGTTATTATTCTCTGACAGATAGTAAATGTTTGTGTATCATTTCTTCCTTGTTAATTAAATGTGTGGTTTTGTTAACAAGTTGCATTAATGAATTTAGATGATTTGACCATTCGTTTAATATGTCATCTGGATCTTTACTGCGAGTAAAGCAAACTATTCCATCTGGACGATCTGTTTTTGCTTCAATTGTCTTTTTGACTACCAGGTTTGATAAAAATTCTTCAGTTTCCTCAATTGGTAAATCTAATAATTGCGCCATTCTTCCTAATGTTATTCTTGTGTAATACTTTGCCATTACTCGAATGTTATGTTCCACAACTTTGTTTTTAAGTTCTTTCCATCTCGCTTGACCTTCTTCCGTATTGGGATTAAAGACATCGGTTGGTGGAGAATCATCAGTACCATGCTTAAGAACATTTTCATAGACACTTACAAGTCCCGACCACTGAATGAGTTCTGGGTTAATAAACATTTTCAAAAGTTCTCTATAACAAAAAAAAATTATCAATTTAAATCAAAGAAAAATGATTTCGAAAATGCTTTAAATTATTTTTAAGAATGCTTTCTTACTTGTAGGCAGGCAATTCATCAATTAGTTTATCCTCCATAACTCTGTGCGTTAAGTCTGCTTGCTCGTTATCATAGGGAGCTAAAATTAAGTAAAGAATTACATTTTGAAGTATAACGTGTCTTTGTTTTGGGTCGTTTTGAATAGAAGGAGTGCTCAAAACTGCTCTGTAATGTTTGCATGTCGCTAAGAAAGATCCCTCGTGTTGATCTAATTCTATCATTAATCTAAAAATGAAACATTTATAAATTCATTAAAAACAAATTTAAATTTCGGCCATGTTTTACGTCTTTTATATTAGGTTAATATAAATTAATAACTATTCTGACATTAAATAATAATATAAAGTAATAATTTTTTTTGCACAAAAAAATAACAAAGTTACAATTGTAACAACTTAAAAATTAAAAAAATTTTTTTTGATGAAATATTTAAAACAGTGAGATAAAACTTACAAATAATATTTGAGCTTTAATTCTTGAGTCTTTTCATCATCGAAAAATTTAGTATTAATTTTTTTAGAAATAATTTGAGTTCTTATATAGTCTTTTTTAGCAAGACAAAGCCTCATTTGTTCCAATATTAGTTCAACTTTTTCTGTTCTTTCCATTGAACCATAAGTTTCTACCTGCAATTCTTGAATAATATTAGCAGCCTCTGTAATATTTCCTTCTTCTTCCTTCATTTTAGCCAATTTATGAGTTAATCTTGCTCTTTCAACTTCAACATACATCTAAAATATTATAATTGAGTTAAACTGTGAAATTTAATTTAACATAGCTAAATCAAAATAACTTTTTTAAAAATTACTTTTCCCTCTGTAACACTTCTCAAAGTTTCTATTAACTTCAATTTAATATCTTTACTTGGTGTTTGATCTACATATGTGCAGCATTCCTGAACCATTTTAGCAACTGCCTGCTTTAACTGACTTCTTCTTTTAGCCAAAAGAGTTATATGCTCATTTAACATAGACCAATTTTTAGCTTCAAAACATATTTGAACAATAGCAACCAAAACTCTTCCTGTTGAAACCATATCAGCCCCAGTTCTGGTTTGCTTTTCAAGAGATAATAAATTATCAAGTGCATCATGAATTTTTCCAGATTTTGCCAATTTTTGACATTCTGGAATCTTTTCATCACAAGTAGCACTATAATCAACCTCCATTTTTACTATTTTGCCAATATCTGTGGCGGGTAATAACGTATCTGACATTTTGCTGTTTTTATTTATCTTTCACAAAATACAAATGAAAAAATCTGAAGAAAAAAATAGGAATGTAATTAACATAAATTATTATTTACAGAATGTACAAAATTTTTGCATTAAAAGCAATTGAATAATCGAAATACTCAAAAAAATTATAAAGATACATTTATTTTACAAATATATAAAAAGAAATATAATTATGTTGCAGTTGTATAATTTTTAATAAAGGCAAGCAAACCAAGTAAGGTTAAATAAAGCGAACGCAATTTTAATAGAAATTATTATCTAATAATCATTATTTAATTACAACTTGAAGAGCTAAATGATAAAATTCTTACATTTAATTCAATAGTATGATTTCGTATTATTCAAATTCTTAATTTCCTATTATTTTTGGCAAATGCTTTGTCACTGCATAATATTTCGTAAACAAAATGGCGGTGGTATAAATTTTTAAAGGATTACGGAGGCTTTGAAAAGGTCACATGACTTTTAAGAAAACATGACATCAGGGTTGGTGGTGTTGTGATCGTTGAAATTATTTTGGAATGTAGTAAACTTAAAATTTGTGCGGGTTTTACAATGGATCTTGATTTTGCATTTGATTATGACGAAAATTTAATGGAAAATAGTTTTTTTGTGACATTACGAAAAGAATATGAAGAATTGTTTTTAAAAGTTGTTGCTGAAAATTGTATAATTTGTGTGCCAAAGACTGATTCTTTTCCCAAGTGTACATTAGCTTTTGAAGATTTTCTATCACATATTTTAGTTCCGACCGATGAATTACCAGAAAGTCATTTTTTAAGTTTATGCGGAGTGAAAGTGAAAATAAGTAATCGAATTTTAACGATAGATAGTGAAACAGGACGTCAAAGTTGTATCCAAATACTTTTTCAAGAAACTTTTTACACAGAAGAAGGATTGAAATATGAAGTTTTATGCGTTGGGCAACCCTTGGATGAAAGCATAGCTTCAGACGTTGAATATTTTAATGGAAAAGTTTTGAAAAATTTCAAAGATTGTTTAGATTTTTTATGGACAGAAACTAAAACTCACGAGACAATAGAAAATATTGATAAAGAAGTTGATGAATTCTTAAAGAAGTTTGATAAATCTCAAATGATAACATTGCAGTTCATTGAAGAATCTTTTAATTCTTTATACAAAAAGTGTATTCAAGTTTTATTTAAAAATCCAAACATTAGAAAAAAATACAAAAATTATAGTTCTAAAACATTAAAAATAGCATTAGAAACATATCTGCAACAAGGTACTTATAAAAAAATTATTCGGTCCATTGCATTATGTACATCAACGGATGATGCTAAATTAAATAAGCATATAAGAAATCTTTCAGATCTGCCTTTTAAAGATTTTAAATTAGATCCAATTTTCTTCAATAATATACCAAAAGCTAGGTTAGAGTTATCAAAAATAAATGGTTATTTTACAGTTATTGATAAACTAAGATGCCTGAAGCAAACTGCTGTTGCTTTATCAAAATTTAAAAATGACAAAGCATTATTAAATGCCGATAATTTGCTTCAGATTTTAACATTTTTAATTATCAAAAGTAATTTACCCAATTGGAATGCTCAATTAAAATTTTTAAAACTTTTTTACTCATCCAACAATATATTCGATGAAAGCAATTATTTAATTGTCTCATTGGAAGCTGCCATTACTTACATTCAAAGTGGAAATTTTCAAGAATCCGAAAGCAAGTATAAATTAAAAAATAATTTAGAAAAAAATTCAATTCAATATGGTAAATCAACATTGTCTCAAGAGCAAGCCTTAAATGAATTTTTTCATTTTGTTACTGTCGGGGATTTGGAGAATGTCAAAGATATCATTGAAAATGGTCACAAAAAAGTTGAAAATTCTCTTAATTTAAAATTATGTCATCCTCTGTGCTTTTGTGACAAATGCCGTGTACTATTTAATCATTTTTCTGAAGTGCTACCTTCTGTAACGTCTGCAGATGAAAAAAATTTGACAGCCCTACATATTGCATCTATGAACAATGTGCCAAACGTAGTGGAATATTTAATTAATAAAGGAGGAGATTGTAATGCTTTTGATTGCGAAGGTAGAACGCCTGCTCACTATGCAGCTCTTAAAGGTCATCAAAATGCTCTTCTTTTACTCCTTCATAATAATGCTCATATAAATGCGGAAGACAATTCTTTCAATACTCCTCTTCATTTGTGCAGTAATAATGGTCACGATAACTGCGTTAAAGCTTTAATATATTTTTCTGAGTATTCTGGTGTAAAATTAAAAGTAAATTCTCAAAACAGTAAAGGAGATACGCCGCTTCATTACGCCTCGAAATGGGGGTTCGAAAGTATCGTCAGGCATTTGCTTGAATTCGGAGCTAATCCTAATATTTTAAACAGAAACAAAAATTCACCCCTGGATTATTCTTACAATGATAAAATTTTACAATTGTTAAAGCAAAAAAGTCAAAATTTTGAAAATACATTAAAAGTGAATAATCGCCAACTTTCCAGTTTAAAGTTTAAAGAACAATCTTACAGGGATACTCAACCAAATGCCATTGACACGATGAAAAAAATTGAAAAAATTTTTCGAGCCATTGAAATAGGTGACGTGAATTTGGTTTGTTTTTACTTTGGCTTTGACGCATCTGATTTCGTACCTTCCGCCAGCGACAACATTACGTTGTTGAAAAACAAAGAACGTGAAAACTATACGCGTTGTCATCCTCTTTGTGCTTGTAAAAAATGCACGGCTCTTATCGAAGAAACAAGTCGAGAAGACAAAACAATTTCGTTTAGTCACAAAAAAACAATAAATTTAAACACGTGCAATTCAGATGGTTACACGGCTTTGCACGTCGCTTCGAAAGCGGGAAAAATTGATTTGGTGAAAGGTTTTATTAAAAACGGAGCCGGGCTAAACGTTCAAACGTCATCCAAAAAATGGACTCCATTAATGTTGGCAGTTCAAAATCAAAGATTGGACGTGGTAAAAGAACTTTTAAACACGGGTTGCAAAATAGACGTGCAAGATTATAAATTAAACACGGCTTTGCATTATGCCTGCAGGACGGGCAATTCGAAACTCGTGAAAATTTTATTAAAATACGAACCGGATACAAATTTAAAAAACATTGACAACAAAACTCCGTTGCAAGAAGCCAAAGATCAATTGTATCTCGGGATAATACAGATTTTCAAAGGCAGGCCCTTAATTAAATCGGGAGATTAAGTTTTTTTTATAGAGATATATTTAACATAAGCTAAACATTATACAGTAAAATAATTTCATACAGTCGTAGCTTATTATAGAAATTGAGTTAATCTTAAGGAACATTCCGTTTAAAAAAAAAATTCCATTTTAGTAACTTTTCCCGGTAATATTTATATTTATAATAATAATAATTTAAAAAGAAACAAATTTTTTTTAAACATAAAAGTAATAAAAATAACTTATTTACAAAATAATAATAATAATAATAATTAAAAAAATAATTTGCCTTAAAAAAATATTTAAATATATTGTATAAAAAAAAAAATTGATATCATCACGGGGGCGGGGGGGTTAATTTTTAATTATTTATTATTAATTTTTTTACTTTTTTTTACAGTATAAAAAAATATATAAATATTTATATATATATAATATAATATTTTGTAAAAAATGTTTCGCGGTAATAGAAATTATATTAATATTATTATATACAATGTAAAGAGACTGAAAAAAAAAATAATAATAATAACGCCTGAAAAAGTAGACTTTATCATATATATACACGCGTATATGTATATATAAATAATTTATTAATAGTTATAAATAATAATTGACTCATAAAAAAAAAAAAAAAAAAAAAAAAAATTTATAAATCGAGGAACAATAAATAATATTGACAGTAAAATATGTGCCATTAAAAATAATACAAAATAATCACAATTAAATATTTATTTATTTATTTATTTAATAAATCATTATTTATTGATATTTTTATCATTTGTCGTCGTCGTCGTCGTTTTATATTCCAAGTCTAAAAATAAACTTAAGTTTTTTTTTTTTTTTAAATTTATAAAAGCAAAAAATTATTATTATTATTATTCATGTAAAACCATTCGATAATGCCAATAAAATGTTATTAATCTATCATTATTATTATTATATATGTACATTCGTGTAATAAAAAAAAGAAAAAAAAAGTTTAAAATTTAATAATTTGTTTGTTAAACTTATGATTCATAAAAAAAAAATAATAATAATAATAAAATTTTATTGGCATAATAATAATAATAATAATTTTTTAGATAATATTAACATAAAATAATTATTAATTTTTTTTTTTTTTTTTTTTTTTTTATGGATTTACGGCCCACAAAATTTTTTCAAGTGAGAAAAAAATTATTACACGTGATAATAAAAAATGAATAAAAAACTTTTTTTTTTTTTTTTTATAATTGTTTATAATAATTAAAAAAATTATTAACTAAAATTTTTTTATTTTATGTTTGTTTAACGTCTCTGACGTCATTTAAATTTAAAAAAATAATAATAATTAATAATTCGGAACGTAAATTTTCACGGTATACGAATTAAAACGTCTTAAAAGTTTTTTATTCATGACTTCATATAAAAAAAAAAAAAAAAAAAAAAAAAACCAGGAAAAAAAGTAAATTAAATAATAATAATAATAATAATAATAATAATAATAATAATAATAATAATAATAATAATAATAATAATAATTTAAAAATTTTATTGAGAAACCAATTAGGGAAATTATTTACGCCGCCATCATTTATTTGTTTTTCTTACTAAACGTTTTTTTTTTTTTTTTTCAAGTTGTTAAAGTGCAAGTTAATTTTTCATCCGGACTCTTGTTAAATTTTTTCTTTTGATAATATTTTTTATTAAACTTATTTTTTTTTGGACTTTTATTCAAATGATAACCGAAAAAATTTGGATTTTCTAAAACTAACAAACGAAATTTATCTTGTAATTCTTCGAGTGATAATTCCGCATTCATGACAAAAAATAAACGATAATCTTCGATCTTGTCTTCGTCGTCGTCGTCGACGACTTTTTCCATTTCGCATTTCAACCAAATCGAAAAAGCCAAATAATCTTTAAAATCGCTTTTTAACCACGTTATAAAATGTTCGCTTTTAAAATTTAAAAAACTATTAGATAAATCTATATATTCGAAAAAATTATTGTGATTATTATTATCGCATTTTTCCCCCCTGAAATCGGATTCGGAAAATTTATGCCTCGATTTTGTTTGCTCGTACGATATCGTTTCTTTTAATTTATTTTGCATCCAAACTTTCGAATCGAATTCTCCACCATCTGAATTAACACCCCCGCTACGTAATAAATAATCTTGTTTGGGTAAATCAATAAAATTATAATTTTTATCGTAGTAACAACTAAAAACAGGCTCGTACTTGATGCACTGCATCGTGAGCCAAGTGTGAATTAATAACAATGGAAAACGACTCGTCCAATACACGACGAAACTATCCGGTATGTCGCCCAAATGTTTTTGAACTTGTTCGGAAAGTTCTCTGTAATGATGTTTTTTGTTTCTCAAAGCTCTTATCAAATCTCGCACTCTGTTCCCCTGATAATTTCTAAATTTTCTCAAACTCGTTGCAACTTCGGAATCGATTTGAAAACGCCAATCTTGTTTCACGACGGATAATCCATTGTTTTCCAATTTTTTTAAAACTACGTTATCGACGTCTTCCTTTTCTATTCGATCGCTCACATCTTGAAAAAATGACAATATTTTAGCCTTGCTCCAAAAAATCGGATATTGTAATATTGCACTCGCAGTGGGTCGGTTAAATGGATCAAAGTCTATCATTTGCTTGATGAGCATCACGGCAAGTAAATTATCTTCGATTTGATTCAAATCATATTCCCCTGATAATATATTTGCTTGTCGGTGTAACGTATCACCGAAAGGATGTTTTCCTTTTGTGAGAACGTAATAAAAAACGCAGCCGGCAGAAAATATATCCACGGCACATGTCTGAAATAGGGAGAGAGAAAAGGGAAAATTTGAGTACGAATGTTAACTATTAGTTAGGTGCGTTGATAATAAAATACTAACGGTTCTATTTACTCCTGATAATATTTCAGGAGCGATCCACCCATCCGTTCCCGTCACTCCGGACCTTCTTGAAAAAGATGTTCTTCCAAATTTTAATTTTTTACACAAACCAAAATCGGAAATCATAGCACGAACCTCTTGTTTTGATGATGGCATAGATAATAGAACGTTTTGAGGTTTAATGTCTCTGTGAACTATTAGAGAAAAAAAAAATTTTAATAATAATAATTCACGTTAAAAAAAGAAAGAAAAAAAAAAAAAAAAAAAAAAAAAATTTACCGATAGAAAGACTATGAAGGTGTTTAAGGCCACTCATTGCTTGTTGCAAAATTTGTATAGGAGTTATCGAATCGATTTTAAATTTTCCTTCAATGTAATCATGCAAAGTTGCCGCACATAATTCCAATGCAATGTACCTGAATTGCTTATCCTGTTCCATGCAATAGTAACGAATCACGTTAGGATGATAATCTGATTCCCTAAGAAGTTCAACTTCTCTATCGGCAAAAGTAAAACATTCTGGTAACACTCTTTTAACAGCGACAAAACGATTATCAAATTTTCCTTTAAAAACAAAAGTTCCTTCGCATCCTTTACCTAACATTTCTTCTGCATTGAATTCTATTTTTCCCACTTTAATAGTACCTGAACCTAAATCTTCAGGCACAGCTGTTATTCCTGCAGGTAAATTAAATTCTCGATTTTTCGATGATTGTGATAATTGTTGAATATCTTTCATTTGTTTATTAAAATACCAAGCCATTGAAAATACAATAATGACCAAAACAATCATTGATATTTTAATTTCTAAATTTTCTTGTTCGCTTACGCTTAATTTAATAATGCTTAATGTCAATGAAAAAAATTCTTTTAAATTAAAATATGATATATTTCCAGAACTCAATTCTGCTATTATATTATGCAATTGTAACTTTCTTAAATATTTTTCATCTTCAGTTTGAGAACCTTCATTATTCACCATTTTTCCATCGAATACGTTCGATTCATTTTCAATCATTTTTCGAATGCTTGGTTTTCCTTCTATTTGTAAAAGTGCATTCATACGTTCTGGTACTTTATAATGACCTAATAAAATGACTGACTTTTCTTTATTCAAATCAGGATTATTTGGAAATACTAAATGCAAATCTTTAACTTCCAAATATTTTATTTTAGGCTTTGATTCTTCATATGTATTTTGATTTATATCTGAAAATGAATGCTTTGGCCCTTCTAATAAAAAAGGACCTTTTTGATTTGCTAATACAATTGTAGCCGTTATTTCATCAACTAATGCTGGTAACGCATAAAACCCATTTATGCATTCTCCAATGTATAAAGTCGGACTGAAACAAATGCATACTCATTAAATATTCATTTATGTTAAACAAATAATTATTTTTCAAAACTGATTTTTTTATATCTGAACAAATAATGTAAAACCACTATGATTTAGTAATTTATCTATCAAATTACAAAAAAAAAAAAGATTAAAATTTGATCTCTTTGATACTACACCCAGAAACCATTCATTAACTGATAACTGATAATTACAAGTATTTTTGTGGCAAATTTTAAAAATCGATATAAAATGTTTATTTTTACTTACAAAAATTTTAATTCACTTGTTTTAAATTCAATTTCAAATTTAGCTTCTTTTCTCTGCGTTCCTTTTTCAATAAGCTGATCCAATGTTGGCTCTGCGACACTTGTAAATGGAACTTTTAACAATCCTCTAGTTTCTAAAATATATATGTCAACAATTGGAGAATCACAATTTATTTGCCAAATTAATGAACCTGTCGCTCTGTCAAGGGTAACTAATCTTCCAGTTGAACTTCCAGTAAAATGCAATAGATCTGAAACGACAAAAAGAGTAGTAATGTAGTTTTCATTGTAGTTGGGTTAAATACATAATAATTCATGTCCATGGTTATTACTGTAATTATTTTGACTTTCAGAATCCATTGAATAAGAAAAATAATCAAAGAATGTGACATTCCAGGGATTTTGTTTTTGAACAGGATCTATCATAACAACATTGTATTCAGTTCTTCCTATATAAATATCTGGGCCTTCTCTGGGACATGTAGTATCAATAGAATCATAGGTTAAAAAAGATCTTTTGGCACCATTTTCAGGATTTACAGTAAACCAAGTATCTAATTTTTTCCCAGTGAACATAATGCCATTTGAACTTCTGCATGGAGATGATGCAACTAATTGCGGTATTGTAAATGGAAGTTTTGATATTGTTTCTCGATCGTTTGAATTTAACATATAAAGAGATCCGTCTTTCGGATCGGGTAAAAAGTAAGGAGTTGTCGTTGGTTTGTTAGATGTTGAAGGTAATCTTATAACAGGTTCTTCTTTAAGTTTCCATCGAACTACTCCTGTTTTCCTTTCAACGCAAATAAAAAATCCATCCAAAGTTGAAAGCAATAATAATTTACTTTCACTTTCTTTAACTAAACTCGTACTGTCAGATGCAGTAACTACGCCGTAATTAAAAATCATAAATAAAAAAATAATTTTAATAAACATTTTTACTGCACTTTTGGTAACAAAAACATCTTCAACTTTTTTAAACACGCATAATTAATAATTGATATTAAAAAAAAAAAAATGGTTATAACAATCTGAATTGAAATGTATACTGATTCATGATGACAGAAAATAAAAAAAAAAAAAAAAAACGATTATTTAAATAAATTAAAAGTTTTAACATTTTATTTGGCTTTTCTCATTCTATGTAATAATAATAATAATAATAATAATAATTATCAGTTTCTTTATTCTTTAATAATCTCCTCATATTTAAATAACATCTTGACGTACATAATTTGCTACGGTTAATAATAATCATTTGATTATCGCAAAATTTATGTTAGCAAAATTTATATATTTGTAATTGGCGGTCATTTATGTAAATCTTTAAAACTTTGTTTCCTATTTATTTTTTTTTTTTATCTGTTTAGTTATTTTAATTTTTGTTTTTTTTTTTTTTTTTTTTTTTTTCGTAAAAATGTCTGATGAAAATATAAACGTAACGTTTAAAAAATCAAATGAAGAATTTTTTGAAAGGGAATCAGATCTCGGAGATGAAATTTATGGTGAAGATGTTTTTCAACCATTTATTACAAAACCCAAAGAAATATTAGGAGAATCAGATGGAAAAAGTTGGGAATGTCTTGGAGAATATGGTGAATTGGAAGGATATTATTTATATCCAAAACAAGCGGCAGAATCATCAGACATTTGGGAAGTACATTCTATTCCTTCCCTACCTGAAACCCCTGAAGTTAGCGAAGTTGAAGAAACGGAAGAAGAAAAAGAAATAAGAAGGGAGAGGGAAATGCTTTTGGATAAAATCAAGCATAAAACTATTGAAAGGCTTTTGTTAAGGCGGAAAAATGCATTTTTACAAGCAAAATTAGGGGAATTATTTAAAAAAAGGAGAATGGATAACGTTTTTAAAGAAGATCCTAAAGGTAAATAAAAATTTTAAAAAAAAAAAAAATGTTTTTATTTTCAAATATATATTTATTAATGTTTTTTTTAAGTTAGGTCTCGACATTGAGGGAAAATATTTAAAAAAGTTGTTTGCTTTTAAAGAATTTAAACTTGCTCAAAAATCTGAAATTGAATCTCTAACCTTAAAAATGGAGGAATATGAAATACAAACTAAAAATTTAGAAGGAGAATTAGAAGAAAAATTAAAAAATTATGTTAATAGAGCAAAAGAAGTATCTATGAATTTAATTTATTCAAAAACTGGGAAAAAAATCAATGAAGAGGTAATAATTTCATAAAAATTTTTATTTTTTATTTTATTTTCTTAATAATTAAAGTATATATCAATTTACAAATTGTAATGTAATTCAGAAGAAAACTTATTTAGACTGTAGATCGATTGTTAAGTAGACAAATATTAAAATTTGAAGAAAAGGGAAAAAGAAAACTTCAATTAATAAAAATAAAAAATTTACTCGAAGAAAAAGAACAACAATTGAGAGAAATGCAATACTTTGGTAATGGATTACACATTGCAGATTATGAACAAATGAAAATCGACAATCAAAATTACAATGATAAAATCGAAGAAAAAGAAGAAGAATTGACAAATATAAGATCTAAAACGCAAACTGTAATACAAAATTTAGCCAATGTTAGAGAAAAAGCTTATGCTGTCGAAGGAGATATTGAACTAATGGAAGAAAAAATGTATGATATTGAAACCTCACTGTTGGAGGTAAAACAATTTATATAAAGCGAAAGAATGAAAATTTTAAGTCAATTTCAAATTGTTTGAGTAAATTAATTTTTTTTAAGGTTAAAGAAGATTTAACAAAGGCAAGAAAAAGAAGAGATAACTTGAGAGAAGAATTTGGACGTTTAAAATGTTCATCTGGTTTGTTAACTAGAAATAAATTACTCAGAGATTTTGAACGTTCTATCGCAGAAGGGAAACGCTTTCAAAAATCATTGTCAGTGGTTAAGAAAGCAATGGAAGAAAAATTTAAACAAGAAAGTGAAATAACCAATTTACTCCTTAATAAAGAAAAAGAATCATCATTGGAAAAACTTCAACCAAAGGCTCCTGTTAAAAAAGAGAAAAAAAAGGAATTAAAAAAATCAGTTGATCGTATTACTTTATAAAACGAGGAAAGATTTTGTTTACTAATTTTTTGTTAAAATCATAATTAAATCAGTTGTATTTAATAACAGAATTAAAAAATTTTTTTAAGTGATGAAATCATAGTGAAGTTATTTCTTACCAAAGTTTTTAAAGGTAAAAAAAAAGGTATGGGTTTTTTAATATTATAACTAGAGTGTTATAAACTAAATAATTAGTTTAGAAATTTTTTTTTATTTTTAGGTTTTAACATATTTTTAGTTCTCTAAATTTTGACACTTGAAATAATGCACTAATCGTTACTGAATTTAATAATAATTACTATCACAGATTTAAATTAATTTTTATTTTACATTCAAGAATTGTTTTCTTCTAATTTTTTCTCATCTTTTTTCTCTTCGTCTATCTCTTCCTTTGAAAATCCATGATCGTTCCAAGGTTGTAATTCTCCAGAACCGAAAAATATGAAAACTAATCCAGTTATAGCATTTATTCCTAGAGTTATCCAAAAAACTAATCTCCATTCGGATGCGTCGGTTTGCTTTATTGTAAAAAAAAAGTGTTTTATGTTTTATAAAAGTTTTTTTTTTTTTTCAATTAAGGTGATTTATCTACTCACATTGGGTGCCAAAACTGCTACTATTAGTGGAGAAATAATTCCAGTGATTCCTCCTATTCCATTTATGACTGCCATGAGTGTTCCTGCAAAATTCGGACTTAAATCTAATGCATTAATTTTCATTCCAGGATAAAATGTGCCCATTAAACCCAGAGTCATTGCAAATAACGTGACTACAACCACTCTATCTTCTCCTATAATTAATTATTAATTAATATTATTAAAATTTAAGGTTTTTAAATCGGATAAAATGGACAATTTAAATTAGAAATAAAAAATAATAAATTTTTCATTTACCAGCGTAAGAAGCAGCAATTAAAGTTATGGATGGACCAACGTGAGCAATTGTTGTAAATAATTTTCTAGTGTTTGTTACATTCAATAATTTTTTTTTGATTAAAAAATCTGCAAGCCAACCCGAACTCATGGATACTATCCACATGACGGCATAAGGTATGGACGATACTATACCATTCTAAAATTATTTAAATCTAATTTTAGTTTTCTATTACAGTTTGCACAACGTAAAAAGCGCTTAGGGACACAATAGTTTCTTTGGGAAAAAAAAATGCTTACTTCTGATATTTTAAAATTTAAAACATTTTGCATGTATTTCGGCAAATCAGTTACCATGGTATAAAAACCCCAATCGTGTCCTATTTGACCAAAAATAAGGGCCCAAAGGGGCACTGAAGTGAATACTTTTTTCCACGGTGGAGACGGTCTTTTCTGTCAAAGATAAAATCCGTTGAAAAATTTTATTACGGTATGGATAAAATAATAAAATGAAAAATGAAAATAATATTACTTTTGGAGGTTTTATTATATGTTGTTTTAAAAAATTTTTCTCTTCGTCAGATATGTAAGGATGACATTCTGGTTCGGAGTAACATAAAAGGGTCCATAAAACAAACCAACCTATACCGATACCTCCAAAAACATAAAAAACAATTTCCCATTGATCTTTGTAACTTTCTAATAAAAATCCAGATAAAAGAATCCCGATAATTGAACCTATTTGAGATCCTTTGAACGATGAAAAAAATTATTTTTGAAATTAATGACGTGTTGACATTATATTAAAAAAAAAATGTTTGTTTTAGTTATTTTTTTACCTGCGAAGACCAAACTTCCTAAGAAACCCCTTTCTTCTAAAGGAATCCATCTTGCTAAAAGAACATTTAATGCTGGAAAGGTAGTACCCTAAAACATCAACTTTTTTTTATCAATACAAAATAATTTTGAAAATATTTATTTAATATTTTTGTATTACAGTCAACATTGCTTACTTCACCAAATCCAGTAATCACTCTGGCAACAATTAACCAAACAACGCCGGATTTAGCTGCCAAAGGTACGAGTAAAGTAAAAATGGCCGTACATAATATCCCCAATCCTAGTGTATATTTTCCACCAAAATGATCGGCGACTATTCCTCCAGGCATGTGGGTTATTACGTACCCGTAATAAAAAGCACCCAATATAATACTTTGAGTTTCTTCGGACCAATCAAACAAATTATCATTCTATCGGAAAAATATTTATATCAAATCAAAGGGTTGTTTTTGATTTTAACCCCCCTCCCCCCCCGGGGCATTGATTTTGTAATCAAATTACATTTACGTTTTGTTTTTACTGTAATTTCAAAAATATGAATTTTTAGTTTTTAAAGAAAAATTTTAAAAAAAAACTTACTAATGGTGGATTTCCTGTTGAATTTTTTGGTACAACCATTTGAGTTATGGCAATATTTAAACAAACTCTTAATTGATAAGCATTGGCTATGGCTAAAAAACCCATTATTGCTAATATGTACCTTTGAGGTATTAGAAATACTAGAAAAAAAATAAATTTTTTAAAATGACTTTTAACTCATTAAAAGATTTGTTCGTTCAGACACATAAATAAATAAAAAAAAAAAAAAAAAAACTTCCAGACTAATTACGATAAGAAAATTATTATTATTATTTTTTTTTTGTAATTACAGTTGATCAAATATTTTTTTATCTACATGGAAGCATGTCATGCATATAATGAAATATGGTAAAAAGGAAAAGAAAATAAAAAAGTAGAAGAAGAAGGGGAAAAGATGAAGGAGAAGAAGAAGGAGGAGGAGGACTTTGATTTGTTTGATACCCCATTTATTTACCTTTACCAAAATAATAATAATAATAATAATAACGTCGTCGTGGGACAATATAAAAACGTTTGGGTAAGTTTTTCACATACAATTTAATTTTAGAAATAAGTAATTTTTTTTAAAAATCGATTTGGGGGGTGGGGTGGGGGGAAGGGGAGGCCACGAAATGAAAATTTTTTTTTAACGGATATTTGACCTTTCGCATTAAAAAATTAATCTTAGAGCTTAAATTTAAAAAAAAAAAAAATTCTCCCGGATTTAATTATTATTATTATTAAATTTTATCTATAATTTATGTTAAAAAATTATTTCATTTTCAATTTAATCATCGGTAATCTTTTTCGGTTGTTCTATTATTAATTATTATTATTATTATTATTATTATTATTATTATTATTATTATTATTAATATTATTATTTTTATTATCATTATCATTATTTTCAATGGGGAAAATTATTAATACGTTGTTTAAAATTAATTAATCGAGAGAGCGAAAAAAAAAAATAAATTTTTTTTCTCATGCAGACACGGTTTAAAATTATTTTTCCGGGTAAAATTTTAATTGTTAGCACGCGCACACACACACTTAACATTTTTTTCGGTAATAAATAAAAAGGAAAAATAATTTAAACAAAACTTACATTTTTGAATGACACGTTTAACGTTTTCCTTCATTTCGATAATATTTTTTTTTAAAAAGAGAAAATTATTTAAAAACGCTTAAAGAAATAATAATAATGATAATAATCATTGGGTTTTTTTTATTAATAAAAAATAACACTAATTATGCATTATTGTTTAAATTTTCGTTTTATTAACTTAAACGAACGAATTTAAAAAAAAAAAAAATACATAAACACACGTAGAAACAAACACACACGCGAACAATATGAAATTTTTTAACGTTAAAAATTCTCAACAAAAAGGTGCGTAGAAAAAAAAAGAAAAAAAAAGAAGAAAAATTTAACAACAGGGAGTAATCATTACTGTTGACGGTTTCTTTCGTAGTTTTAAGTGGTTGATTATAAAAATCATTATTATTATTATTATTAGTTTGAGCCTCATTCGATAAGAATATTTTTTAATATCATCATCATCATCATCATTATTTTTTCTATTCTGACGTGTTTTTATCAATCGAAAAAAAAAAAAAAATAGATAAATGTATTTATAAGGCATTTCGAATTAGTCTTTTGGTAATGAAAGAAACCATTTTTGAAAAAAACTTTTTAACGAATTTTTTTTTTGTAAAAAATTATTGAATGATTTATTATCGATTAATCATCGATTTGAATCGAAAAATTCGATTGATAAAATCTGAGTAATTTGTTTTACGTGTTTTTTCGTAATTTTATCTCGTTCATTTTATTTATGTTTTATATAAATAATTAAATAATAAGCCCCTTAGGTATTATTAGTTTATGTTTTCTAATTGTAAATTTGATTGTAAAAAATTTTTACCTCAAAATATTATTATCATTGTCATAATTATCATCATCATCATCGGATAGGAAATTATAATATTTTCAAAAAAAAAAATACAAAAAAAATTTTAATTAAATAATTTTTTATTTTTGTTTAATGTCGTAAGAGTTCATTACTACTTAATAATATATAAAAAGAAAATTTATTAAATGATGGAAAATTCTGATTTTTTCTTTATCAAATACGTTCAAGGTGATATTTACTTTTGAAAAACAAGATCCAAGAAAAAATTAATTTTTATCAAATTGTTTTAGAAAAAATATAGAATAAATTTTAAGGGGGTTTTCGTGAACATGAATGAATTTGGGGTTGGGGAGGGGGGAAAGGGAAATTAACTTGTACGAAACGAAAGGGAAAAGTACGTAAAGGTTAGAAAAAAAATTTTGGTAAAAGCAGGTGGTTGTGTGATGATGATGATGATGATAATGATGTTTTTTTCAAAAAAATATTTCGTTGCCATGTTAACAAAAAAAACACCTTTAAATTAGGGTCGTAAAAAATGTAAACAATAATAATTTTGTTATTAAAACTTTATATATTTATTAATTTTTTTTTTTTTATTATAATTATTTATTAATTATATTTAATAATATTGTTATGGCCGATGATGAAGACGTGAAGGATTTGAAAATTTTATCTATAATTGGTTTCGATGGTAAATTTATAATTATTTATATAACACGCACGGATTTTATTAGTAAACAATCACCATTCCCTCCCTCCCTCCCTCTCTCCTTTCCTCCCACTACCTGTAATAATATTTTTTTTTTTTAGGTAGCATACCTCATGGGTTACATTGTCACCCCGATCAGATTCACATCATTTATCCAATTGGAAATTCAGTAACTATTCAAAATACTAAAACGAAACAACAAGAATTTCTTAATGGACACACAAATACAATAACAGCACTTACCGTTTCCCGTTCTGGAAAATATATCGCTTCAGGGCAAATTAATCACATGGGGTATAAAAAAAAAAAAAATTTTTTTTTACTACTAGTTTTTTTGTAAAATATTATATATATTTTAATGATTTTCGTTTCAGATTTAAATCAATGGTGATATTATGGGATTTCGAAAGGAGATGTTTAATCGGAAAACATGAAATACACAAAGTTCGAGTTGAATCTGTTATATTTACTTGTGATGATTCGTATCTTGTTTCTTTGGGTGGTAGAGATGATACTTGTTTCGTCGTATACGATATAAAAGAAAACGAACCTTTGTGTGGTAAGGAATAAGTTTGTGTGAAAAACGTTTCAAAACTTTTAAAAATGTCGTAGTATAAAAATTTAGAAAATGTTTATTCTACTGCAAAACTTTAGAAAAAAGAAAATATATAATTTTCAGGTGGTTTTGCAAATGGTTCGAGTACGGGAAATGCATCAACTTTGTGCTGTACAAATCGAAGAGGAGCTTGTTTTTTTACAGCTGGAGATAAAACGTTAAGATATTGGAAGATCGATAATAAACGAAGAAAAGCTCTCTTCACGGAAGTTAATTTCAATAAAATAAAACGTCTTATACATTGCATGGAGGTTGGTAGGCCCGAAATTCCGTTTAAAAACTAATATTTAAATTTTTTTTAAAATAAAAAATTAAATGTCAAACGGTCGATCACCTGTAGATAGACAAAAAAGATGAATTCCTTTATTGTGGAACTTCAACAGGAGATATTGCCAAAGTTTTCGTCGGATATCCCGAAGACGTTACACAATTGGAACCCAAAAGACCGGCAACTTTGATTGGTTGTTTTGGTAAATACATAGGTAAAAATGCCAAAATGCCAACCGGATGCACGGCTGAATGCTACAGTTTAGGTACATTAATTTTTATTTTCGCTTATAAAAATGTAATTTAGTTGAAATTAATAACATTACATTATTTATATTTAAGGTGTGAAGGCATTAATTTTATTAGGCAAGGGTGAAATAATCGTGGGGGCCGGAAATGGTTTGGTTGAACACGTTAAAGAACGAGACGAATCTCATTTAAATGATTATGCGAATTTGAGAGTTAAAGATCCTTCCATACCCATGTTACTCAGTGTAAGATTTACGCGCCTAAAAAATTTATTTTTAATTTTTAATTAATAAATAATTAAATACAAAATAATTGTCAGGTTCGTCATCATTGCGTCGATTCCGGAGTGTCATCAATGAAATTATGGAACAAAGATTTAATTGTAGGTACCGAACAATCAGAAATTTTCAGCATTAATTTTGAAACTTGGAATTTAATACTAAAGTGTACTTGTCACACGACAGCTGTTTATGATATATGCTTTCCTAGGTACTCATAAATACAATTAATTTTTTTTTTTTTTTTTTTTTTTTTTTTTTTAACGGAATGCTTTTTTTTTTTTGTTAATAATTTATTTTCGAATTAAAATTTTCCAGTGATTTTTCGGCAGTTTTTGCTACGTGTAGTAAAGATACCGTTAGAGTTTGGAATACGGAAACCTCACAAGAAATGTTGAGAATTAATGTTCCCAATTTTACTTGTTCGGGAGTTTCTTTTTACCATAATGGAAAGGGAATAGTAACTTCTTGGAACGACGGTACCATTCGAAGTTTTACACCTCAAACGGGAAAGCTCATGTTTATAATTCATAATGCACACAATAAAGGCGTGAGCGCATTAAGCATAACTAAAGACGCTTTGAAAATAGTCAGCGGGGGTGGAGAAGGCCAAGTAAGAGTTTGGGACATTAAACCAGATGTACAATCTTTAAGAGGTGTACTTCAAGAGCATAAAGGACCGGTTTCGGCAATACATATAAATAATGCCAACGATGAAGCCGTTAGTGCCAGCACCGATGGTTCTTGCATCATATGGGACATTATGTAAGCAAATGAGAAATTTTTCCAAAAATGAAAAACAAAATGAAAAATAAATTATTAATATTAATTATGTGATGATGATTTGCTTGCAGAAGATGCGTTCGTAAAAACATTATATTCGCCAATACGTTATTTATGGCCGTACGTTATCACCCTTCGGATTGTCAAATTCTCACGACGGGAACAAATAGAAAAATTGCATATTGGGAAACATACGACGGTTCTTTGATTAGAGATTTCGAAGGGTCGACAGCATCCGGATTGAATACACTGGATATAACAGGAGATGGGAATTACATAGTGACGGGAGGAAACGATCAAATGGTCAAGGTAAGATTTATTCAAATATTATTTTTTAACGTCGTATACGCGATAAAAAAAAAAAAAATTTTCTTGTTAAATATGAAAGCTATGGAAATATCAAGAAGGCATAAATACGCATGTCGGTTTGGGTCACGCGGGAATAATAACCGCAGCAAAATTTAGTCCCGATAATAATTACATAATAACCGTATCGGCCGACGGTGGTATATACCGTTGGCAAAATCCCTACGCTCAAAAAGAAAGACAAAAAGAACCCAAGGAAACACCGGATGTTATTTCCGTTCATTCCGAACCGAGCACGACAAAAGAGGCAAAAGAAAAAGATCTCGAAGAATGCATAACAAAAACGAGAGAAATAAAATGCAAATGCGGTTTGACATCTTGCAAATGCCCTAAATTATCCGTGACGACGACGAAAGCATGCAAATGTACAAAACCTAAATGTAAATGTACCTTAACCGTAGTTAAACCCATCGTTAAAAAATCTCAATCTCAATTACTACATAGAAAAACGATTAAGGTACCCAAAGACGACATTGGTAGAAATAATATTTACGGAGATTATTGCCTTAATCCAAAAAAAAAATAATTATAGAAAAAACTTTGACAAAAGAATAATAACCAATTCCTTTCTTTATTATTATTATTATTATTATTATTTCTAACATAAAATAATTTAATTTTTAACTTATATTATTTATTTCTCCAGTATGCAAAAAAATAATACAAATATCAATTTGTAACCAGTAATTTATTTAAAAATAATAATAATAATAATGATAATGATAATGATAATGATAGTGATAAAAGAAATAAACATAATTTTATTTTTTAACAATTATACTATAATGTAAAAATTTAGTTAAAATAATAATTAATGAATAACAATTAAATATTTAATCACTGGAAATTAATGGATTTCCTTAATATTATTATTATTATTAAAAAAAAAAACAAAAAAAAACCATCACGTGTAAAATCAACATGTTAAAGGAATGTTAAAAAAAAAAAAAAAGGAAAAAAAAGGAAAAAACACAAAATACAAAAAAAAGGCAAAACGAACGACTTTTTCCCCTCCCCTCCCCTCCCCCCACCTCTCCTCCTCCTCCTCCCAATTTTTGAATGCTTGAAAGACATTTATATTTATTATTTATTAATTAAACATTAAAACGGCCGTTTAAAAAAAATTATTAAAAAAAAAATTTGAAATTATTAATTAACTGGTTACACTTAATAATTAATATATATGTATAAAAGTATAATAATAATAATAATGATAATGATAATAATAGTATTTTTAAAAGGTACGAAAAATTTATTTTTGTTCATCACAATTTTTTTTTTTTATTTACTTATTTATTTAATTTAATTTTAGGGATAAGGTTGATTTAATATATAAATTTTACGCCCCTTACCTTCCCACCCCCGGCCCCGCCCCCCAAGTTATGAATTTTTCAACATTGATCGTGTGTAATTAAAAGCCCAAATTATTATTATTATTGTTATTAAATTAAAATACGTACGTTAAAAAAAATAATAATAGTAAAATTAAATTAAAAACCAAAACAAACGAAATGATCGTAATTTAAATTTTAATTATTATTATTATTAATTATTATTATTATTATCATTATTATTATTATTATTATTAATATTTTTATCATTATTATTATTTATAAAATTGGACATCGTCCAAATAATTTTTTTTTTATTAATTCAAACGTGTTTTTATCATAATAATAATAATTTGAATGAGACTTTTCGACCTTTTATTATTTCTTATTGTAAATACCTCACCCCCACCCACTTACCCCCCTCAAAAAAATGTAAGAGCCGATTACGTCATTCATATTATTTTGTGACGTGATTAACTTTCTTACTTTTAAATAAAAACATTTAAAAACAAATT